TGTAGGGGTGTACAGCAATCCTTGTATCACTGCTCCAGTATTCCACTGATTGTAGGGGTGTACAGCAATCCTTGTATCACTGCTCCAGTATTCCACTGATTGTAGGGTTGTACAGCAATCCTTGTATGTATGGGTGTACAGCAATCCTTGTATCACTGCTCCAGTATTCCACTGATTGTAGGGGTGTACAGCACTCCTTGTATCACTGCTCCATTATTCCACTGATTGTAGGGTTGAACAGCAATCCTTGTATGTAGGGGTGTACAGCAATCCTTTTATCACTGCTCCAGTATTCCACTTATTGTAGGGTTGTACAGCAATCCCTGTATCACTGCTCAATATTCCCCTGATTGTAGGGGTTTACAGCAATCCTTGTATCACTGCTCCAGGATTCCACTGATTGTAGAGGTGTACAGCAATCCTTGTATCATTGCTCCAGGATTCCACTGATTGTAGGGTTGTACAGCAATCCTTGTATCACTGCTCAATATTCCACTGATTGTAGGGGTTTACAGCAATCCTTGTATCACTGCTCCAGTATTCCACTGATTGTAGGATTGTACTTGTATCACTGCTCCAGTATTCCACTGATTGTAGGGCTGTACAGCAATCCTTGTATCACTGCTCCTGTATTCCACTGATTGTAGGGGTGTACAGCAATTCTTGTATCACTGCTCCAATATTCCACTGATTGTAGGGGTGCACAGCAATCCTTGTATCACTGCTCCAGTATTCCATTGATTGTAGGGCTGTACAGCAATCCTTGTATAACTGCTCCAATATTCCACTGATTGTAGGGGTGTACAGCACGGTACACATTATCACACTACATCAGGTACTGGCCCTCAATATCTACCTCACGGTATGCACATCATCACACTACATCAGGTACTGTCCCTCAATATCTACCTCATGGTACACATCCCCACACTATACATCAGGTACTGGCCTTCAATATCTACCTCACCGTACACATCCCCACACTACATCAGGTACTGTCCCTCAATATCAACCTCACTGTACACACCACACTACATCAGGCACTGTCCCGCAATATCTACCTCACGGCACACATCCCCACACTAAATCAGGTACTGGCCCCCAATATCTACCTCACGGTATTGCACATCATCACACTACAGCAGGTACTGTCCCTCAATATCGACCTCACGGGACACATCCCCACACTATACATCCGGCACTGGCCTACAATATCTACCTCACGGTATGCACATCCTCACACTACATCAGGCACTGTCCCTCAATATCCTCACGGTACACATACCCACACTACATCAGGTACTGTCCCTCAATATCTACCTCACTGTACACATCCCCACACTACATCAGGTGCTGCTCGGCTGACAAGAATCATGGGGTCGGCATCAGGGTTTCTCAACCACAGATTCCTGCAAATATTGACCCAGAATAAAGACAATGGTCAGGACAAAGTTCCTTATTGTTGGTTCAGAGTCCAAGTGTAACACAGTGTAATCCTTTTAATACAGTAATTACAATAACTTACTCTACATTATCTATTCAACAAGGAATTTGGTTTTGTGATTCCCTATATGTATATAATTGTCTCCTGTACTTACATCATCACCTGTTTACTCCTCATCCACAGTCACGTATCACAGTAAGTATTCCAATACCACACATGTATTAAACACAATTACATCGCAGTATATTCCAGAATGGTACCAATTTTGACATATTTCAACAAATTTTAAAACTCACAAATATCCAATACTAGGTAATACTGATAGACTTGTATATCAGTATCTCCATTACATAATATAGTTTTCTCCTATAATGTACCACCAATATAGGGAGTCTGGAGGTGTCACATCAGACCTGATTTATGATGTCTCCCCAGTAAAACCTGCCCACAGGGACTTGAGAACAGCAATACCTAGAACTGTGTTGAATGCCCGATTGTAGAGGTGTACAGCAATCCTTGTATCACCACTCCAATATTCCATTGATTGTAGGGATGTACAGCAATCCTTGTATCACTGCTCCAGTATTCCACTGATTGTAGGGATGTACAGCAATCCTTGTATCGCTGCTCCAGTATTCCACTGATTGTAGGAGTGGACAGCAATCCTTGTATCACTGCTCCTGTATTCCACTGATTGTAGGGGAGTACAGCAATCCTTGTATCACCACTCCAATATTCCATTGATTGTAGGGAGGTACAGCAATCCTTGTATCACTGCTCCTGTATTCCACTGATTGTAGGGGTGTACAGCAATCCTTGTATCACTGCTTCAGTATTCCACTGATTTTAGGGCTGTACAGCAATCCTTGTATCACTGCTCCAGTATTCCACTGATTGTAGGGGTGTACAGCAATCCTTGTATCACTGCTCCAGTATTCCACTCCCACAGAACATTTGTTGGCAAAAAACATGACATAATTTTGACACAACATGTACTCTTAACGCAGCATGCTAGCAGTAATGAATTCCCTTTGCGAGGTATCACCAGGGAGATACATATACCTGTACAGATCCAGGTTTATGACAGTGCCTGAGGAAGAAGAATCTAGATCAGTCTATGATGGAACCTGTGTAATTGTGGTATTGTTGAAACATTAGCGAGACCTCTGAGTCTCTCCCCAGTAATGTGTTCCTTCACCTACAGACAGACATATCTCACCGCTCCATAATGATGATCACTCCTGTCACATGCTAATAGATACACCTCAGTGTACTGGAGGGGTGCAGCATTGTCTGGGCAAGTCCCTCCGATTCAGTGGCTGTTAGGTCTCCCAGCTTGCCTCATCACTAGTGTCTCTTTTTTCTAAAGAATTCATCACTCAAGGTATCCACGTCTTGGCAGACGTCTGTGAGTCGATAGTAGGGGCTGATAATTCTGTATTTACCAGTTAATATTAGATAAAACTGCTATCTGATCTACCAATAACTCAAGTAAAAAGTAATCTCTTCGGGGGGGGGGGGGGGGGGGGAATTGTGTTTTCACAAATTTTCTTATGTAAGATCCAGTCAACACTCATCTTTATAAAGATTGTTTTGAAATATTTCAAGGCAAATTATATAAAAAGTACTCTCCAGAAAAAAGAAAATAACTACATTCTTCTTATAATTATAAAGGAAGACTGTTTAAAAGCAGTAAAGGCAATTAAGATAAAATACCTTGATTTTTTTTAATGAGAAACATTAAACCTTATAAAAGCAATGAATGGTTACCACCTATATGGGTA